AATATAATCTCTCTCATTTCATGTTGTTGTTTTAACATAATTCGGCCAGAGACAAATGTCACGAGCTTAAAGAGGATACGAAGGGTCTTATGGACAAGTGTGGCAAACTGTCAGGACTCCTATTGCTGTAGGTGGCAACCCTTCTTTGGCAGATGTGAATCCTTATGTTAGGGTGCCATTACCATCTTCTATTCGGAGTCAGTCACAATCTCGGGCATCTACTCAGTTGACAAGGGGTCTGAGAGGCAAGCAGTCGTTCAACAGGGGTCGAGGAGGAATCATTATCAAAGAAGTGACATTCGTCTCTCTTTTTTTTTTTTCTTTTTTCTTTTTTATAGGAGATCATTATGGACCTTGAAGTACATATAAATATATGACTCTCTCCTTTCTTCGTTTATCTTGCTTGTTCCCATGCTTTCCCCCTCTCTCTTTTTTTTTTACTGCCTCAATTGTGGGGTATATATTTATTTTCACGTGTGCCACTGATTTGTCTAAGTAAAGTAGAACATTTTCTTCGCACACACTTTTCAAGTTGAATTTTTATAAACTCGCTCCCCCTAGTTGTAGGGTCTTTTATCTCGAATTTCCCACTATTGGATCATCATACGCACACACAGGGATGAGATTGCCTCATTTTGCCTTAGGGGATCTAGTCGAGAGAAGAACGCTCCCAGACTAGCCAATATCGTCATTGGCAAGGTTCACCCATCTCTTATATGTGGTAGTTGGTAGTTATACTCATACAACCATGGAGTGCCTGAATAGTTTCAAGCTTTCATAACAGGCGTAGGAAGTTGGTTTCGATAACAAGGCCAGATTGACTAACAGTTTAGCCTCTTGTAGTGATGGAGGAAGTCCCTTATAAAAGGAAAAAGCTTTTGAAAATGGATGATTTTAACAGTCAAATTGAAACAACAGTTTCAAAAGAGATGGGTCATACAGTTTTGCCACCCGTGGCCCCTTTGGTGGTTATTTTCTTTATTATGTTTTACCCAAAGATGATGAAAAGGTTTCCTTGTGGGATCGTGAGAACTCAAAGGTCTTGAAGTTGTCTTTTTACCTTTAGAGCTTTCATCCTATGCTTCACGGATTCATGAAGAGTTCTCTGGATTATTGCCGAGCTTCCATCTTGGAGGGGTCTCGACGTTTTCCAGGGTTTTTCAAAATCACTTCGATTTTCCATTCATGTCACCCTCCTACATCTTTCTGAGTTGGTTCTGTTGAGAACCTACGGGGTTTTAGGAGGAGTCTTCATCCTCAGGGTCTGCTTGTGCAGTATTATTGGAACTTGCAAGTACTTGTTTGTACTTGAGTGCTTTGCATCAAAAGCTCCTTCTTGGAGTTCTTGTTATTCCTTTTATCCGTGATGCCTTTCAGGTTTTCACCATGTCCATTTTTTTGTTTTTTTATTTTTTTATTTTTCTTTGTGAAGCCTTTTCAAGTTTTCACAACGTTTTTTAGCCTGTTACGAGTAGTATTTTATGAGATATATTGCATTAATGGGGTCGTTGAGTTCGTACCCCTTCTGATTTTTTATCTTATAATAATTGCCTGTATGCACTTGGGTAACCACGAATGACCCCTCCCAATTAGGTTTAAACTTGCCTAAAGGGTGTGGATTTGCAGGAGTGTGGACGATTTTCTTGAGTACCATGTCTCCTTCTCTGAATTGTCGAGGAATAACTTTTCTTTGGTGTGCCCTCTCGGTTCTACATTGGTAAGCAACGATATCATGTGTTGCTCGTAGTCGTTCTTCATCTAAGTTAATGAGGGCAGCTATCTGTGCTTCGATCTTTTGTTCCTCATCTGAATTTTTATGAATAAGGCCTCGGAGAGATGGTATCTCAATTTCGATAGGTAGCATTGCATCCATACCATACACCAATGAGTATGCCAGTAGGAGTCTTCTCAGTTGTCTGGTAGGCCCATGGGGCTTTCCGTGCCAATCTTTCCCACCTTATATTATTTTGTCTATGATTCTAAGAAGTCCTTTATTTGTGGCTTCTGCTTGTCCATTTCCTTGAGGGTAGTAAGGTGTGGAGAATTTCTGTGTTATTCCAAACCTTTTGCACACCTTACTGACCTTTCATTTTTTAGATTGGATCCATTGTCAGTGATGATTGACTCAGGAACACCGAATCTGAATACGCTATTGTTCTTTATGAAATGGGCAACATGTTGGCCTTCAATTTTAACAAATGATGCGGCCTTTACCCATTTGGTGAAGTATTCTGTAGCTGTTAATATAAAACGATGGCCGTTTGAGGCTTTTGGTGAAATCATTCCAATGATATCAAGACCCCACATGACGAAGGGCCATACAGGTGGTGTTGAGTTGAGTGATACGGACGGTGCATGGATGAGATCTCCATAGAATTGACATTTGGGACACCTCTTAGCGAACTTCCAGCAGTCTTCAGCCATGGTGGTCCAGTAATAGCCTTGGTGCCTGATTTTCTGAGCTAAGGCGGCTGCCCTAGAATGACCTCCTTCATTCTGCAACTCTGTAGTACTTGGTCAATTTCTGGCTGATCGAGGCACCGTAGAATGATGTCATCGAAGGACTTTTTGAATAGCATATCATCTCTTACTAAGAATCCAATTCTTCTTTATCCTTTTTGATGGCTCCTTCAACTCGTTTTGGTACCGATTTCGAGCCATGGATTTGAGTTTTGAACCAAGCTCATGACGCGATAAAATCATAGAAAAATGTGCAATCTTAGTTTTAAGATTCAGCCTGTTTCTCAGTGTTTTTCATTGATTTCGCGATTGTAACGTAACGAGCAAGTTGCCATGATTGTTCTATAAAAAGAACGGCCCGATTTGGTGCACAAATGACCGTTTTCCAAATTGAAAACTCTAGGCAGAATTTGGATTTCGGTGGCCGAAATTTGTTTGTGTTTATCACTGATTTCTAGTGAATCTGATAGTCCATCACATGCGAGGTTCGACCCGGAGGAAGCTCTCAACCTTGTAGTCGTAACGGGTCTGATTTTGCTTCGATCTGAATCGCGAGCACTTTGATGCGGGGGTTTGATCGGAGGGACATGTTGCTGGAATTTCTCTGCTACTTTTGGGATTTTTCGACGAATTTTTCTCTTTGATTTCTCTCGGCTTGGGCAATGTCACCGTGCGTGCCACATATCGACTATGTTGACGAGACGAACATGCTCCCAAAATTTGGGTTCGATCTATCTCGGGATGAAGAAGATATGACCTTGTGAAGTTTGCCCCCGAATTGGTGATGCACAATTTTTATTAATGGAAACTGGTTTGCCGAGGGCACACCGTAATAGCATCCAAATGCACCAAAAATTGGTACCCGGAGGTTTTCTAATGTTCAGAATCCAATGGCAATCTTCTGGAGACTATTTGACACTCAGATAATAGTGTTGTAGTTCAAAGTCCAATTTTGGCATGATGGATGTCGAATTTCTCGAGACTGTTTTGTCGTATGCACTACCTTAAACTCGTCGGATTGCAACAAAATTTGGCATGCATTGTTGGAGAGGCCTTAGCTGTATTCTTGTATACATTCTGGCCATTATGAGACTGACAAAAATTTCACTTCCAAATCAGTACTTTTGTAGTCCACATGTGTTCTGATACCTGTAGCCCTAGGTCACATAGTGCTCTCTCCTTACTTGCACCGGGTATACAAGTCATGAAAAATACCTTCAAACACTCTTCTTATTGTTTTCCATGTTTCGTTGATATCATATTTTTGGTTTTCGGCCGCCTTCCCTCCCTTCAACTCCCTTATCCCCTGAGTAATTTAACGCCTAAGATGGAATAACCCCTATTTTAGGGATCAGCATCTTTTCGTGGTCTTTAATCATTCCTCAGGGACTGGACTTGAGGAATTTGAAGAACCGGTATCCATTGGGACATTCGTGAGCCCAATCATGGAATTTCAGTCCCTTGCAGTGGCTTGAAATTCATGTGAGTGGTAAATATGGTTTTTTTTGAGAGTTGTTGGAGCTGGCCTTCTCTCCCTCTTATCTTTGTTCCTTCTTCACTCCATTTTAGCTCTTTCGCGTGATTGTCTTCCCCTTTCCTCTCTCTCATTACCTTGTTTCTCTTTTGACCTATCTTTTGTTCCCTAATTTGGTCGTTGCCTCGTTGGTTGTGTGTCGCCGCCATCCTCCTGTTTGCCCCCATGCCCTTCTTGTATTTTTTTTAGGCGTTGTTTTAGTCTAGGTTGTGCATCGTTTCATGCTTCTTTTATTGCATGCCAACCCATCCCCAGCATGTGAGGTCATGATTGATCGGATGGTAGTTATGAAGTGTTCAATTGAGAATTTTGGGTTTGGGAGTAAACGTTTTGTAGGAATATCTCTCTGGAAGTGTTTTTTATGTGGTTTAGGCGAGATCTTAGGCAATCGGAGTTGTAGGTGCCTTCGAGGTGAGGGTACAAGTTGTGTTAGGAAGTCTTTGTAGGTCATCCCTCGAAGTAGGGAGTACTTCTTGTATTTTCTTCCTTCTTCCTCTGTTTCTTCATTGTACTTATGGAGCTCTGCTCCTCTATACAAATAAATTACTAAAAATTAAAAGAAAAATAAAAATAAAAACAATCCTTGTCCGATCAAATATAAACTTCAGATGTGGTTTCTTCACCCTAAAAAACAGTTAACAAATTTGTTGGCCTCATCATGCTTTTAGTATATCACAACTAGTTGAAGTTTGAATCATAAATCCAAAATGCACTTTTCCAGCTAATAATGAAATAGTGCAACCTCAAGGAGTAAATGAGATGATATTGAATCAAATGATGCATATTACTGCACTCATGAATCGGTACGTGTTAATAACACTTTCTGCAACAACATAGTGGACTTAGGAGGCGAAGTTACACAACACATTTACATTTGATTATTCTAAGAGAGAAAAGCAGATGCAGCATATTAACAGCTGCAGTGAGGTACACAAATGGAGAAAGAACAGGAAAGAAAAGGTTCGGGGGTGTGTCTTCCGTTCCTCTTCACTTTCCAGGCACAAAGTTGGTGGCGTAGGCCCAGGCGTTGTTGTTAACAGGGTCTGCGAGGTGGTCGGCCAGGTTCTCGAGGGGCCCTTTTCCAGTGACAATGGCCTGCACAAAGAAGCCGAACATGGAGAACATGGCAAGACGCCCGTTCTTAATCTCCTTCACCTTCAGCTCCGCAAAAGCCTCTGGGTCATCTGCCAGCCCCAAGGGATCGAAGCTGCCCCCGGGGTAGAGTGGATCGGTCACCTCCCCGAGTGGGCCCCCTGCAATGCGGTATCCCTCAACCGCACCCATGAGAATGACCTGGGAGGCCCATATTGCCAAGATGCTCTGTGCGTGCACCAGGCTCGGATTTCCCAGGTAGTCGAGCCCTCCCTCGCTAAAGATCTGTGCCCCCGCCTTGAACCACACTGCCTCCCCAAACTTCACCCCATTGCGGGAGAGCAGCTCAGGGAAGACACAGCCCAAGGCCCCCAGCATTGCCCATCGGCAGTGGATGACCTCCAATTCTCTGTTCTTCGCAAATGTCTCTGGGTCAGCCGAGAGGCCTGCAGTGTCCCAGCCGTAGTCGCCAGGGAACTCACCAGTGAGGTATGATGGGGGTTCCCCGGATAAGGGGCCCAAGTATTTTACGCGGTCGGGGCCATACCATGGGCTCCCAGAGGAGACGGCCTTTGAGGGCTTGCCAACCGGCTTTCGCATGCTCACTCGCCCCTCCCCGGAGCCAAGGAGCTCTGAGGAGGCAGGGGAGAGGGCGAGGGCCTTGCCTGCGAAGGTAGAAGAAGAAAGTGACATGGTCGCCATGGCTTTATATCTCTGCCTAATTCCGGCTACTATCTCCCTCTCTCACTCTTTACAGAGCAACTATGATGCAAGTGCTGCTTTCCTCTCCTGCACTTGCCCACCCCCTTTTATAGGGCCATTGTATTGAGTTGGATGAATTATAGACATGGAGCTATCCAAGGAAATCTCAAAGTCGTCTATCATTGGGCCATTGGACTACATAACTTACACAGCCAACCACTTGGCAGCCTTTCCACCACGCAGTGAGAGAGAGAGAAACGGCTATATCTCCATGGGAACAGCAAATATTTTGGCTTCTTTTCTAAACTACGCGATTTCAATAACGACACGGTTCTACGCTGCCAGGCGCATAGTGTAGAAATGCGGGCTTGGCAATAAATAAATTTTTTAAATATAATTTGATCTTAATTTTTAAAAATATATATAATCCCTAACACGAAGATCATGAAAATGTCAAAAAAAAAAAAAATAAAATAAAATAAAAAAAAAGAAGGAAAACTACAAATAATAATTATATTAAAAAAAATTTGGACCGTTATTTACACTTGTTTTTAGATGGACCCCATATTTGCATCTATCTTGAAGATGGATGCTTTATACCTCCAGACTTCATATTGTAGAAATGCTGTCCAGCCCATATGAAACAATTTTTTTTTCTATAATAGCTTTATAAAAATAAAATAAAGCCTTACCTCGAATCCTCGTTCAGAAAGCATTGTGGGCACTAAAAGCCTTACCTCAAATCTTCATCCAGAAAGCACTGTGGGCACTAGAAATTTTCATGACAACTCTGAAATCAATTTCTAATATTGACTATGAAATTTGAAGTTCAAAAAACGTACAAATCCTGTAGATATGTGAACACTTATTTCAGGGTGAAATAGATGGTCTAGATAGTATATTACAATATGCATTATTGTTAGGGCTTGAAATATTTTTCTTTCAAACCACAATGATCAAGGGCAAGATGTTTGATTTGAAAAAATTTCAAATCTAGAACTGCAATTTTCAATGTCTTTGGAGGTGAGGCTTTACTTATTTTGACACGGTTGCAGCCCTATCAAATTATTTTTCCTCTCTAAACAATGTTTTAAAACTCACCAATTGGGAACTTAATGATCCAGGTCACAAATTGGTTGGGACTAAGTCAATTTTAGAAAGGTCTCGATACTGGTTTGGTCCCCTTGAAATGCCTCAATTTATATGCATATTTATTTAAACATATCTAATATTTGTTCCCACTTAAATTCCCCTTTCTCAATAAATCCCTATTTAAATGTTTAAGTTTTTTACTTTTTAATATCTTTTTGGGAACAACTTGGGCCAATTTGGATAGGTGATCCCACTATCCAACACGGATCTATAAGGTGAAGGTCCACCCAACCTATCTGGGTTGCAAAAAATTATTTCTAAAGTTCAAATTTTTGGTCTTTGCGTATTGTATTTTATTAGATTGGGTAACGGGGACTGCATGACCTTTGTTATTAGGGTACTTGGGATTGAAGGCCAGCAAACTTCCTTGGTATACAAATTTACTGTGGAAAAATCGTCTTGATTCTTGAATGTTTTCTCTCTCTCTAATGCTAGGTATTGCTTAATTCCTCGAGTTTGCAAAATGACGTTACCTCAACTTGAGTTGCACACCGATCAGGTAATGGGCTAGATGCCCCGGCCTTGTCAACCCACCCTTAACAAAGACAAGGGCTTGGCCACAAAAACTGGCCTGACGGATAGGCAACCATGGGGCTTGAGGGTAGGGTAGGGTCAGGCCTGGGCCGAGATAGTCTGGCCCTCCTTTCATTTATTTTTTCTTTTTATTTGTTTTTTATTTTTTTAGCCCAGGCTCCCCAATCCTAGTCCTAAAGGGGCTGGCCGTGGCGCTAACAGGGCCGGGCTGGGGCCAACTAAAATATAAAAATACAAACGAAATAAACAAAGAAACCGAGGACAGACTGAATCAGACGGACCTACTGAACTGGGCGGGCATTGGCTCAAGCCGGCATGGCCCTACCACGAGTCGTGGTTTCCTAGGCCAACCAAAAAAATAAGATTTGACGTAGCTATACGTATGCACATTCTATTTTGGAGAATGATCGTGTTTATTACCACCTTTTACACTTTCTTTTGAAAATTCGTTTATACTCTTTCATTCAACCAAGCTTCTCTCTCAATCCCGTTTCTCCCTTTGGCTTTCACAAAGGTCAAAGCTAATCTTTGAGTCTCCAAGCCCCTTCCTCTCTTAACCTCTATCTCTTTGTATGGATCCCTCTCTTTGAAGCAGTCTTTGGTCCCTCACCCCAAAACCCTCTTTCTCCATCTTCCAATTCTTTCTATCTTCATTTAAATAAACGCTCATTCTCATTTACACGATGCCCGAACTGAGAATTGCAAGAAAACGTTTTAGGCCATTAGCTCCTCATTAGCTTCAATACACCTCTTATGCCTTCATATTGTTAGATTTTTGTGGCCATAAAAGGCCTTATGAGAGTATGTATAAGCATTTTATATAGTGAATCATAAACTCAGTGGGAGTGTGGTCCTCTCTTGAACTATATTAGACAAATGTTATTTGTCGATACTTAGATTTGGCTCGACTTGATATGTCAGTCGAGTTAGAAAACCCAACGTACCTAGGCGTAAAGTAAAAACCGATGAAGGTTCAGTGGGTTAACCCTCAAGAAGGTCGGTGTTTACCCAGATGCGTGAGTCGATGGACTGTGTAACCCTTATGTGTGATAGTTAGCCTTTAGAGATAAGGCTAAAACCTAATCATAGAACCATCACACAGCATATGCATAGATAGCCGTAACGAGATAGTAATTCACCATTAAGGGTGAAGCATGTACACGTGCGAGAGATTATCCCTATGCACCATAGAGTTGTGGTTGCATTATGATCTAAGGCCCCATGGATTTGTCTCTAGGTAAGAACTTGAATTTCATAGATCGGGATTACATCCCATAGCCTATTGGCTGACTTTGGTGGCCCAATCATGAACTTTTGCAGTGGACTGTAGATAATAGGAACCGCTGGGTTTGTTTGAGACAAGTGTGGACCACGGTCCACTGTTGAAGGTGGAGTGTTCCCGTATATTAACAATTCCTTGACCTGTATGAATATGATTCCCATCAAAATTAATTTGTTTTAATTAATTTTATGCTATATGATTTTAAGAATGATTATTTGAATTTTTGTGATTCTCTTGATAGTTTATTTTATCATTTGGATTTATAAACTAAGATAAAATCATTTTTCAATGTTTTAAATAATCAAAGATGAATAAATTTTATTTTATTCTAGAAATCAATTTAAAATATTTATTAAAATATATGGGACCCGGCATATGACATGGGGGTCTATTTAAATCACAATGGAAGATTGGGTGGGGCCCATGAGGGGGCAACCTAGGGTGGCTCGCCCACCCATGGGGGCTTACAAACTAGATATTGTGAGATAGCCTTCATGCTTGTTGGCTTTATATTTTTGTATGAAGCCTTCGTGCATTAGGAATCAATATAATGAAATTTTGTATGCCTTGTGAATCAAGATTTTTTGATTGAATGAATAAAGAATGAATGTTCATGAAAAGAGAGGGTATGGGAATATTTTTTTTATTTAAATATTTGATGGGAGTATGATGCAGATAAAAATTGGAAAAAAATTCAAAACTATAGTTTTATTATTTTTTGAGTTTTTTATAGGAAGTGCATGTAGATAAGGTGAGGAAGTGAGTTTTAGGAGGATTGGGGATATGGTTGGTTTTAATATTGGGAAAAAGGATCTAGGTCTCCTATTTTGATGGATTTAGGAGATTTATCTATAGATTTATAGGAGATTTAGATAGAGATGGATTTATGGGAAATGATTGGGAAATTTTGGTACGTGAGAATTTAGGAAAAAATAGAGAAGAGAGAGAAAATAAGGAGAGAGGTTTTTAGGTGGCACGTGAGGTAAAGAAGAGAGATAAGGGAAAGGTTCGTCTATTAGAGAGAGGGGTTTTCTTATTTGTTAATTTGTTTTGAAGTCTATTTAAAAGGAAAAGATCCCTTATTGTAAACAGATCAGAGAATGATCAGTGAGAGTTGAATAAAATTGATCTTGTGATAAAATCTTTTTGGGATAGATTCCCTTTCAAACTTTGTTTATGGAGTGAATTCCCTTGCAGATTTTGTTTTTAAGGTGGATTCCTTTGCAGACCTTGAGAGTTGGTATATTCCCTCAACGATTTTCTTTATTTTATTTTTATTGTTCCAGTTTTATTTTCTCCCTGCATCGAAATATATTTAGGACATGGATGATAAGATTCTAGCACATTTCCTTGAATCTTGATGGTGGATCTAAGAAATAGATGGCTCACATCTCTCATGCCATAAGTCTCTTTAGATTAATGGTCTAGATTTGATCTCACTAAAGATGACAACTAAAACATAAAAAATCTATAAATAGATACTCTCCCCTCATAATTCTCAACACCTCTCATCTTGTCTTTTCTCTCTCTATAGAGCTCTCTCCAAGCTCTCTTCTAGGGGGTCACACCCCAAGCAAGGTTTCTCTCTCTCTTTGGTGGCTTGAAAGGGGGCACACCCCATACTAGGAATTCTCTCTCTCTCATAAGAAGGTTAGAAAGGGGGCCATGCTTCACATAGGAT